TTGAGTGCCTGACGTGCGAGCAACTGAGGCCGGGGGCCCAGCCAGACTGCGGGCAGGACCAGGACCCTGCCAGACCGTCTCAGCCTGACCCTGTGGAGCAGGCCTGCTGCTGCCTTGGGTGCCCCACGTGCCAGGAGCCCTGGCCGGGGCAAGGGGAGGGTAAGAAGAGGCACGGGTTTGTATATAGTACAGAGCCGGCGGGCGCGATCCCAGCTGTTTTGATAGAATGATTAAACATCCTTGACCTTTCTCACCGCAGGGGCAGTCCTTCTTGGGGGCTGGGGCCCCAGGCCAGGTGCGTCCAGGGTTGTGGCTGCAGGGCATTCCACGCTGACAATTCATACCTGGGCAGGTGTGCAGGGAAACCAGCCTTGAGAACAAGTGGCTCTTCCGATGACTCAGTGAACCTGTCTGGTGACAACCAGGGCCAGCTTTGGGCATGGCGGGGCTCCTGTCACACCAGGCTGCCCCGGCTGAGGCTCAGGAACTGCTGACCCACTGCTTAGCTTCTAGAAAACATCTGACGTGGGTGGTGAGGGAGACAGGCCCAACCCAGCTGGATCCAGGGATGAACCCTGTTCAGGAGATGGGAAGGAGGCCTAGGGGTGAAGGGACTGCCAGAGGTACCTCCTGGGCCTGCAGATGCTGCCACGAGCCTGGCCATCTCCCAGCTTCCAGATGGCAGCTGAGCCCTCCTCTTGCTCCCCGTCCACGGGCGTCTTCCCGCTGAGGTGGGTCTCACACCACACTGGCCCCTGCTCACACAGGAACGTGGGTCAGGGCAGGGAAACGGGGAGCAGGAGACCTGGGAGGGACGCTCTGATGCCCCAGGACACGAGCTGGGTCCCATGCGCCGGAGCGGGCTGGGCCGATGACCGGGCAGGGGCACTCAAGGCCGCTCTGCCCACTCAGTGCGGAGGGGGTTTCAGTGCAGGGCTCCTCACCTGCCCACGTTTTAGGATTCAGATTGGAGTTGATTCAGGTTCTCCACCTGTTGACAAGACCCCTGTCCACAATGTGTCCGTGAAGCCACCAGAAACGTGCGGAGTTAAAATGACAGCAGGGCCTTCTTTCCAGGACGTGCTCCCGCTGCTCACCTCATACACCCCTTACCAGAGGGGTTCCCAGCCCAGGGGCCTGGATGGCGTGTGACGACCACGTCATCTCCCAAGGGGACAAGGGTGCACGGCAGGAGGGGGTGGGGCTCCCCAGCATGCTGCAACCTCCATGAGGGTGCCCGGTAGCCCTCTGACCCCAAGCAGTTCAGGGACGGTCCAGAGGCCCGGCTGGGTGACGTCCCCCTCGTACTGTGTGACAGCTGCCCCAGTCGGGGGCACACACAGGCATGGGAAAAAGACCCACCAGGCAGCCATCTTTTTGCAGGTTTATTTGATCATCTTGACACAAAATCATTCCAGCAGCGTGATATGTCTCTCCTTTATACGGGAATGTCGATAGCAAATAAATTCTTATATAACACATCATACAATTTCGAGATTCTAGAATCACTGCACAGGATTCTGCAATAGATTACTCTACATGCTGAAGTGACAGTTTTCATCAAAAGGAAGTTAAAACGTCATTGAGGACCATCATTTCTTGAGGGAAGTTCAGTCTCCCTGCCCGAAAAGCGCATTTCAGGGGCCCAGCTGCCCCAAGACACACGTGTTTCGCCGTTGAGGCCGAGAAGCCCGGGATGGGACCCTTCCACACGAGTGCACAGGACGCAGGGACAAGACTGCAGAGCATCCAGCGACCAGAGGAGGGGTTGGGAACTGTGGTGCTCTACCACTCACCCCAACACCCTGCCTGGGCCACAAAAGCCACCGGGGCCATCCCCGCTGCACGGGGATCCCCACCTGCACAGATGGACACGGTGGGGGGACAACGGACAGCAGCCTACAGGGCCTCTCCCACCGTGCATCCTGGGGGGACCTGACATTCAGTGTGAGGGGTGAAGGGAGTGTCTCCCTGGTGAGCAGCTGGCCCCCTCTTCACCCCCAGTTGCCACCAGGCAGGGGGTCTGGGGACTTGTGGG